GAAAAAAAGTAAAAATGCTGTTTGAATGATCCTCAATAAATTTTTTACAGTTAACACTTTAGATTTTTATAAATATACGGTACATTATTTTATGGTATATACGTTCATTTCGAAATATTGTTTTGACCAAATATGTGTTACCTTGATTGGTAACAGGACGGACAAAACTGGTAACAGGATAGACATTTATATATGATAATTAATGCAAAGGAAAATAAAACGATGACTTGCGATTTAAACTTGTAAAATTCATTCGATCTGGCAATATTTAACTCCATTGATGTCTTATTATCATTTTCAACTATAAATGAAAGTTCAGTCGCCGATATTACCGTACAACCATTAAGCGTGTCATATTAAATTTGCATTGGGTTTTTTTTCAATAATCTTTTGTTATAGCTTCATCGTTTGTAATAAAGACTTAGATGTTTATTCTAGTATATGAACCTAAATTGTTTTATATTTATTCTCTATTAATGGTTTTTGTTCTGCTTGGTAACTTCTTTATTTTTAACCTCAGATTTAACCAATATTGCTTCAGTGTGCTATTTCGTAATAACAATATTTTGCTTATAAAATATAATAACCAATTTTGTATTTCTTTCTTGCAGTCATGGTACTATCTCAGGCCGAGAAACAGCGTCGTTACAGGCTTAAAAGAGATACTGACCCTTCTAGACGTGAACAATATTTAAGAAATGAAAGAGAAAGATACAAGATGCTGAAGGATGTAGGGAAGAAAAAAAATAGAGATGAAATGACTAAACGAGAACTTCGTTCCAAGAGAAAATATTGGAAAAATTACAAAAGGGATCTACGAAAGAGACAAACCAATATGAAGAATATTTTAACACCCCCTGGATCCCCTCTTACTAACGATGAACAAGCCGTTCAAGAAGAGGGCGTACCAGTTGCCTTACAGGAAAATGCTCCAGGACCGTCGAGACAGAATATTGCAAGCAAGAGGAAAAGAAAAAGAGAAAAAGCTAAAGTTTACAGAACAAACAAATTACTGATAAGAAAACTTGAAGAGTCAAACAGAAGAGTGCAAATGTACAGAATGAGGTTAAAGAGAGAAAAAAATAAGATGAATTTGATAGAAAATAAAAAATTAGAAACACCACGAAGCAGGACAAGACGGCTGTTTAAACATGCATCAAGGAACTTCAAGTCTGTTCGAAAAACTTTAGACTTTCATCATGTTCTTATTAATGAAATGCAAAACAGCTGTGAGAAAAATAGATCAATGAAGAAGTCAATCTTGGAAATTCTCAGGGGCAAGTTATTCCGAAAGTATAAACTGACGAAGTTTGCCCATAGCCAAATTCAGGTGACAAACCAAAGTAAAAGGAAAAGAAAGTCAAAACAAACAATATCAGCCAACCTTAGAGGAACAGTAAAGGCCTTTTTCGAGAGAGATGACAATTCCAGAATTACCACTGATAAAAAGAAGACAAAAACTGTGAACAAAATGAAAAAACAAATTAGATTCCTGAACGACACACTTTCGAATCTTTTTGTAAAATATAAAGCAGAAAACAATGATAAGATAGGCTTTATAACTTTCTGGAAACTAAAGCCTTACTGGATTAGAAAAGCAACAGAAAAAGAAAGAGAAACTTGCCTTTGTAAATGTTGCGAAAACGTAGGATTGGTTGCAGATTGTCTTAAGAAAGCAAAAATTGTTGAGACTGCAAACTTAGAAAGTTTAGTAAAAGAAACAGTATGTTCCATGGATAATCTTGATTGTATGTATGGTAATTGTCTAGACTGTAAGCAATCGACTGTCAAACTAACAGTAGAGGACAAGAATGTTGAAGTAACCTGGTCTCAATGGCAAACTAAAAAGATCAAAAAGACCTTCAAAGGTGGGGACGAAAAAGAATTGAGCGTCACGGTGAAGGAAAAAGAAAGTGCTTCTATCGAAAAGGCAACAGAAAAACTTCATGAGTTATTAAGACCCTCGTACAGTCGCCATCTGTTCAATATCAAAAATCAGTATAAACATTACAAAACTCTCAAAGAAACTTTAAGTCAAACTGAATGTCTGATTCATGTAGACTTCTCAGAAAACTACTCTTGCAAGATGTCAAAGGAAATTCAGTCGATGCATTTTGGAGCATCATTACCACAAATTTCCCTTCATACTGGTTACTATGTTACAAAAGATATGGATACTATCCGTTCATTTTGTGGAGTGTCAGATTCCCTCAGACATGACCCTCAAAGTATATGGGCATACATGCTACCTATGTTGAATGAAATCAAAGATCTGTATCCATTTGTAGAGTACTTGCATTTTTACAGCGATGGACCTTCAAGTCAGTACAGACAGAAAATTAATTTCTATCTTCTTTCAACCATGCCATTTGAGCTTGGGTTCACTGGTGCTTGCTGGAACTTCCACGAAGCAGGACATGGGAAGGGAATACCAGATGGCATAGGGGGATCTATTAAACGATCAGCAGATAGACAAGTTAGCTTTGGAGCAGATATATTGACAGCAGATGCATTTATCAAGACGATTGAGACTGGTACTAAAATCAAGCTTTACGAAGTTAAGGAGCCTGACGTTTTAGAAGTAGACAAAAGAATTCCTATACCATTGAAAACTATTCCAGGTACGATGAAAATACACCAAATCGTCACCGAATCAGAGAGAAAGCTAAGGTATAGGGGCATAAGCTGCATTGATGTTCATTGCTCTGACCATCTTTGTGATTCGTTTGAATTTTCTGCATGTGGAGGTACAGATCAAGCAAAGTTGATTAACAAATCTGAACCACTGGTATCTACATCAACACCTTATAAAGATATAAATTTGGAAATCAAGAATACTTATAAAAAAGATGTTATATTACAGAGAAAAATGGAAGAGGACAAAACCTGTCAAAACAAGAATTCAAGTCTTTTGCAAACATTGCAACAATGTGGATCTTTTGAACATTTGCAAATTACTTGTTTGGAATCTATTACAGAAACTTTGCATGGAAAAGATCGGTTTGTTCAAAAAGATAACTTTGCTATTGACAATAGATCCATGAAACTATTCCCAGATGACGTCTGCACCGACAAAACTCTATTTCCAGTACAGGTCAGAGCTGATGGAAACTGCCTTCCAGCATGCGGAAGTGTTTTTGTTTTTGGAAACGATTCTTATGCCGATGAAATCCGAGCTCATATCATAAAAGAATTATCTCTAAACAAAAAGTTTTATCTGGATAAAAACTACTTGTCAAATGCTTTTGGGACCGATGACCAGAATAAAAACATCTTAAAAAGTTTCGCGATGTATTCTGATGAATACACCCATGGCGTTGTATTGACGGAAAGATCAATTGAAGATATATGTGAGAGAGAAATAATGCAGATAAGAAATTCCAAAATATACATGGGCATATGGCGGATTTTTGCTCTGGCAAGTGTTATTAGAAGGCCAATAGTGTCAGTGTATCCCAAAAAAGGGAATCCTAACGTACGGAAAGATCTTTATCGGAGAATAGAGCCAATGGAAAAAGATTCCGATAAACCGTTGTATATTATGTGGACATCAACTCGCCTCGATATGAACAATAACTACTGGGTTCCAAACCACTTTGTGCCCTTATTGGAAAAAAACGAGCCTGTTGAAATCATCCCTGACGCTAAAAATTGTCTTCACAAGTACGTCATTGTAGACTATGAAAGCACTCCATATCCAGGGTATGTGGAAGACGTAGATTCTTCAGATGTATATGTGGTATGCATGCAAAGACTTGAAAGAGATATAAAGAAGAATGTCTTTTATTGGCCAAAAGCTGTAAAAGACAAGTGCTGGTACAACTACTCAAGAATATTGGCCATTATTCCAAAGCCAAAGAAAATCAAAGGGTCTTCCAGTAATTATGAAGTGGATCCGGAAATATGGACAAAAACCTTGTCAAGACTACAATATTAATCATTGACAATCGAAAATGTTCTTCATGACTTTTTGTTCAAATCTTGTGTTGTGTTCTTTTAAGAAGTTTTACTTTAAAGTTTGAAAAGATGAAATTAGTTTTGGTTTTTACTCCTATAATGTATACTTTCTCTACGATTGTATGACGGAAGGTCGGATTGGTAATTGGTAAGCGTCCATTTACATTTAAATGCATATGCAGGGTGAGATTTACATAACGACATAAAGACCAACATACTGAGCAAAATCGTAAAAGCACTGAACTCACAAAATGACATGTCACTTTATCTTTACCCATTTTTATGACTTCGGGTCAACCAGGTATTGGTCTTACTTCAGGGTAAGCGACGAAACAGGGAATACAATTTATTCAGTTTTTGTTATTTGTCTGGTTTTGTATCCCTGGGAAATCCCCAAAAGTTGTTTTTTTATTGATTTGTGTGACCAGAAGTTTTTTGTCTTTACTGTTACTTCCTTGTCTTTCCTGTTACTGCCATTGTTCGTTCCTGTTACCTTCAAAAATGTGTAAAATAATTTTTACTATGAACAAAACTGATCATTTGGCTAAGTTTGTATTTAATACTATTAAAAAGGGACAAACTAGTCGATTTGTGCTGCCCAGTTTACCAAACTTTTTTTTTAAGAGCTTTTAGAAAATAAAAAAAATGATGATTTTTCTGAACGTACCGACTATCTGCAGATTTTTTTTTTGGTAATCTTCATAAAGGATAAATGTTAATGGGATGTCAAATGTACACTGTTATATAAGTACGATAGATACTTTGATTACATATATTCTTTTTAAATATCATGTTTTCTGACATTTGAAAAAAGTAACAGGATGGACAAAATCGGATAGCATCTGGCAGAATATTTAAAAAAAAATCATTTTCAGGTGTCGATAAGATTGCATATTTTGGGAATATGTTCGAAAAGCAATGTGTTTTTAGTTCTTTAAATATAATTTGTATTCAAACCACTTTACTTTTTTAAAATTTCCAATTCGGAATTGTACTTTATTTTGAAATGACTGAAATATGTAAATATAATGAATAAACCACACTACGAAAAGACAATTAATTGAAGAAGTCTTTTCAGCAGAAAATGTATGATAAATCATTTAACAGATAAGACTTATTGATTCTTTAAGAGTTGAACGAATGTTTTCGTTGGCATCATTAATACAGTAAGCGCTGGTGGAACTCTATGAATCGTGTTTAACGAATCTTTTCGTTGGCAGCATTAGTACATTAAGCGCTGGTGGAACTCTATGAATAGTTGATTTAAATGTCCTTTCTATAAGTATGAGATACATAAAGCTGTGAATTTAAGCTATCACAGGATAAGTTAAAGTTTACTTCAGAAATTTAGAATTTTCTGATTTTGCCATACACACTAAACGTAGTGAATTTGTGCATTTTAAACGTTCTTCAGTATAAGCTAAGATTACTATCTAATAGTCTAATACATGTTTAGTTTACTATGTATTGATTTAACGAAGTCAAACAACTCAATTGTATCCACCAGTATGATAAGACAGGTTATCAATAAAGAATATCGATCAAATACGGCGTCCTGATGTTCTATACAGAAGGCGTTATTGTTAACGCAACACGCCCATTTCGCATTCTCGTGGATAATATTTACAAGTGATTGGACAACAGCTATTTGAATCAATGTGAGTTTCCATTGGATCGTAATCTACACCAAGCCAATCATATTTTTTTGAATTTCTTGTGTCTTCCATCCATTAAACGGTGTTTCTAAAATAATGAAAGAAAAAATGATAATAACTTATATATTTTGTTGTCACATTATTATATGTGTACATTATTAAACAAATACCGTATAATAACATTGTTTTATTAGAAAATGCATGAATATTGATAATCTATTGATAATCGTTTTATCATTTGCTTGGTTCGGTTTTTACTGTTGTGCCTTGTTTTGTATTTATGCAAACGTATGTTTTTTTTTATAAATATTATTTTATGAAGTCGTTTTTATATTTATCGGTCGATATGACATGCCTGCGTTGTATTACAGTGTCTACGATAAAACTCTTGAAGTTTTTTTCCGTATCTGGTTTCCAAATCATTTGGTATTGAACTTATCTAGACGCATGTACGTGTTGTGCGTACTTAAATCTGTATCACACGTTTTTAATGCACGTGTACCTAAATCCTCCAGGGATTAACATAGCACAATATAACTATATGTTATATGGAATAGATTATCGAAAAGTTTTTTAAATAATTATGTCCACGCGTGGAAAAGAATGATACTTCATAAACGAGGCAAACTTTAATAATTAAATATAGCTTTCTGTTAATGTCCAAAGGTTTCCATAACGTGCAGAGAGCGCGGCACTCACCCAACATGGGGCACCAAATTTAATGTCCCCATTCCGATCGAACTTGATTGCGTGTTTATACATCCCGCACAACCACATCGCATTGCAAGTTTTTCGTAGAAACTAAAATGACAATTATAGTTGACCGGTACGGAATATTTTGGTAGAAGATGAGCCCGGATGTGTTACACGTCCAAAATATTATCTTACTTTTCTCATTAATAATCACCAAGTTCGACTCATTTCCAGATTTTTACTCGTTATGAATAACCTTTTAAGAGAGGCTTATATAGCTCGATCAATCTTTTGTTTCCTGTTCAGTGTTTTGTATTTGTCTAATTCTTTGTCCTTCTTTGAGTGCAGTGTTTTGTGGAGTATTATTTGTCTAATTCTATGTCCTTCTTTGAGTGCAGTGTTTTGTGGAGTATTATTTGTCTAATTCTATGTCCTTCTTTGAGTGCAGTGTTTTGTGGAGTATTATTTGTCTAATTCTTTGTACATCTTTGAGTGCAGTGTTTTGTGGAGTATTAGTTGTCTAATTCTATGTCCTTCTTTGAGTGCAGTGTTTTGTTGAGTATTATTTGTCTAATTCTATGTCCTTCTTTGAGTGCAATGTTTTGTGGAGTATTATTTGTCTAATTCTTTGTCCTTCTTTGAGTGCAGTGTTTTGTGGAGTATTATTTGTCTAATTCTATGTCTTTCTTTGAGTGCAGTGTTTTGTGGAGTATTATTTGTCTAATTCTTTGTACATCTTTGAGTGCAGTGCTTTGTGGAGTATTATTTGTCTAATTCTATGTCCTTCTTTGAGTGCAGTGTTTTGTGGAGTATTATTTGTCTAATTCTTTGTCCTCATTTGACTTATTTTCTAGGTTTCTGGACATTTTCTTTTCTATTTAGCGTAAGAAGACAACCAGTTGATTTTCTGTGGGAAGGGGGTATGGCAGGATGCTTTCAGAAATACATATGCTAGCCTGGTAAGAACAGAAAATAAATAATCTTGCTCAAGACAAAATGAAAATGAATATGTTGAGGCACATAATGCAGCCATTTGCAGGGTACAACCGTTAACAAAATCGAGATTAAAAACACAGACTAGTAACACCTGAAAATTAACATTCCGTCCGCGACCCCTCTTTCTCCTTTCCCCACAGACAAACACAATACCAAATGGTCATCCACTAAACATGTTTATGAAATAATGATAACAAAAATAAACGCAAACATTTCTATATTACAATTGATGCGATCCACAGATAATCTTTAACTCTTTAACGAATTAAGAAACATTATTCTATTGAATAGATTATATCTTAAACATTCACCAAATATGTTAACTGATTAAAAGACGAAAATTACTTGAATTAAAAAACAATGATGTAAAAATGTTTAGGTTATTGATTGATTGTTGTTTTATCAATGTTCACATGTCCGATATTTCATGCAAGTTTCTGTAGAATGAAACTTACCATGTGTTTTACTATGAAGTCGTTGCTCTATTTCATTTTTGAACTCAAGACCACAAATTCCACATTTACTCGATTTATCACGTGTATGTGTTCGCCTCACGTGACTGTCATGGGCAGCATGAGATGCAAATGCTTTTCCACAGTACTTGCACTGTTAGAAATTGATAAAATAGGTATTATAAGTCAAGCATGGCATAAAAATACAGTTGAACTATCTAAAACCTTTTATAACTGTATAAACACACTCATTGGTGTTTTTTTTATGAAACAAAACCAAAACGAAACAAATAAATAGTAATATTAAATGCTATATTTAATCATTTTGGATAAAATAGAAATTGAAAACAGTTTTTTGTATCGTTTTAAAATTGAAAAAAAGCCGATATGATAAATAAAACAGACCGTTTTTTTTTTCAAATTTTGTCTTTAGGCGAACAATAGCAAATGGACATTTTCGCACTATACATGTTTAATATTTCTCGATTTGACTGTCCAAAGATTAGTTCACACAATTGTTTGGTTACATCGGTTTTACAGTATAAAAAACATATTCTTATGCAGAGTTCCCTGTTGTCACAGATGATTTGTCGTGGATTTTGAGCATACCTTAAATGGTCTCTCGCCAGAATGTTGACGTATGTGAGTTCGTAGAATACTTGATGCTGTGAACGATTTACTGCAGTATACACACTTATACGGTCTTTCACCACTATGTACCTAGGAAAGGGAAACATATCTTAATACTTAGTATGGACTTAAGAATTATCATTGCCACTCCACAAATGTTAACGAAAAAAGTGATTTCGTAATCCCATTAAACATCAGTTAATCTTATTTCTTTTACGAACAGGTTTTCATATAAATTGAAAAGCAATGTTTTGATCTTAATTTTGGAAGACCATTTTACCAAACGTTAATTTTATTTGATTTAGTTTTGTTTTATGATAAGTAGCAAAAGTATGTCCATGCCTTTATCAAAATCCGTACATACTTTTTCCAGAGAGATACAATTCTTGTTAATGCCAGAAATGGGAGACAAGCCATGAAAATATTTTCACGTCTTAAAGCATGGCTTAGACACATAACATAATTTTAACATTAAAATGAACCAATCAAAACAATGATTTTGCATCTTAAGGATTCACTGTGGTTTGAACATTCCGAATGGCCAGACGTCATAACGAAGACGTTGAATTAAATCGGGACGAAGTTGAATTTTTAAATTGGTCCACTAGGAAGACACGCCAGAGTACTGATATCTTACATTCATAACAAAAAAGAAAATTTGGATTAGGAGTACACTTACCCTCATATGTTTGTTAAGACTAGAGCTTTGACTGAAGCTTTTTGCACAAACAGAGCATTTATGTGGTCGGTGTTTTTCATGTACATGAAGAATATGTATGCGTAATCTGTCTCTCTTTTCAAATGACCTAAAATAAAGATGTAAATCAAAATTGTGAATGCGTAAACTATTCTTTTTTTAGACTGAGAAATACATAGGCATGCAAGTCAAAAATATGTTAGTTAAACGACATTAAAAAGAAATAAAAACAAGGAATAAGAGATGATCATACTGTATCTAGTTTTCTTTTAGTCGATCTTTAAATACAGATTAAATTGAGGACGAAAATATATATAAACTCTCCCATTTTTGTTCAAAAAAGCAACAAATTGCAGAATGATTCTATAGATTTGTCACAATCTAATAGGCACACATTTGAGGTTTCTGACATACGTCTTAACAAAGACATATTGTTAAGTTATTGGTGTTTTCAGTAAACGGAAGACAAGTCTATAATCAACCCGTCTATTATATCTATACCTTTTAGCATGCATTAATACAGAAGTCCATGATTTATGTGTTAAAGACTAGACGTCCTGCATACGAATTAGAAATGAAATGTTGGTTTCAGTAAAGATAGGAGGCAACGATAGTTTAACGATGTTCAAAACTCTGACATTCTTAAAATAAAAACTCATCAGATATACAATGGTTGTAATTTTTCAGGATATCTTTTACAATTTGCACGCATTTTGTAACTATTTACCTGGTACACGATGCACGCCGAAACCTTTCTACCTTTTTGGTCTTCTCATTTGGGAGATTCGTGGGACATAATGCATATAAAACCTACTCTCTCTTTGACCTAGTCATTTTGAACTTACACAAAACTAAGATTCGTAGATATTTCCTGTTTCTATGCTTCACATTTTGTACACATCTGGTACACTGTTTACAAGATCTTAAAATTTTTACATACCTGGTGCACAGCGTACATGGATATTTTCTGTCTCTTTGGTTTACACATTTGTACATACCTGGTGCACAGCGTACATGGATATTTCTGTCTCCTTGGTTTACACATTTGTACATACCTGGTGCACAGCGTACATGAATATTTCTGTCTCCTTGGTCTACACATTTGTACATACCTGGTGCACAGCGTACATGGATATTTCTGTCTCCTTGGTCTACACATTTGTACATACCTGGTGCACAGCGTATATGGATGTTTTCTGTCTCTTTGGTCTACACATTTTTACATACCTGGTGCACAGCGTACATGGATATTTTATGTCTCCTTGGTTTACACATTTGTACATACCTGGTGCACAGCGTACATGGATATTTTATGTCTCCTTGGTCTATACATTTTTACATTCCTGGTGCACAGCGTACATGGATATTTTATGTCTCCTTGGTTTACACATTTGTACATACCTGGTGCACAGTGTACATGGATATTTTATGTCTCCTTGGTATACACATTTTTACATACCTTGTGCACAGCGTACATGGATATTTTCTGTCTCCTTGGTCTACACATTTTGTATACTTCAAATGTTTGTCTCTATAATACTGATAGGCAAATACTTTTCCACATCTTTCACAGGTGAATCCTTCTTTACCTAAAATTGTCAAAAGGGAATTAACTTTGGTCTATACTATTCCTTTGATTGTATATAGCATCACGTATTAAGCCTTTACATAGAATTTCAGAATTGTATCTTTTTATGCCTGTCACGAACATTTCTGGATGAAAAAAACAAAGGTTTTATAGGGGTATAAAAATATGATTGTCTGCATTTATTAAATGGACATTTTTTATTTAACGTAGAGGACGTTTGCGCTTTTAGAAAATGGACATAAAACGCTTTTTCAAAAGCACAATTATCCATCATTATTGGGGCGCAAGTGTCTAATTGTGTTACAGAATAACAAAAGCACAAACATCCTTATTACCGGCTATCTCTACGGCAGATACATTATAATATGTGTTCCAGAGTGTCATTAAAACAATTGTTTTTGCTATCGTGTACACCAGATTTTTGTTTGCTGTTCCGATTGCGATAGCAATACAATGGATATTACAATCGTGCTCAAAAGACTTTGATCTGTGTTATCTATTGCATCTGCAGTACTGATAGCTAGTAAAAGTGTGTGTTCACGTCAACAAACCATGGAAAAAACTCTTAGATGGCTACGTATAGGTAACCTTTTCTAGGTACAATTTATGTCCCACCCACCAAACATACATCTTTTAACAGACGTTCACGCTTTTGTTTGCAAGTCGACTCACTTGAAATTATATGTATAAGAAACTAAGGTTTCAACTCCCTCAGGCAAAGTTGACGTTATATAAATTTGGCTATTTCTTAGGTACTTTTGTGGGTATATAGCTCTTCAACTGTGTAGTTTATTATACATTCTTGGTTTTCAAATATTAGGCTTTGAGCGTTCCTGATGAAGGTAAATTTAGAAAAGCGCTTCGGAAGCATGGAATTATTTAACGTGCTGTTTTCATTTTCTTGACAGATCCTACATCATTTGATTATTGTATGAAATGTTCTTTTCATGGACGTATAGCAAACAAAAGTAATTCATTGTTGGAGAAGAAAATTTCAAAATATAATGAACTTTAAAACAAACACTTTTGATATTGGTATCGCGGTAAAAAATTCACCATATCCTTCGTTGCAACAAACAATAAAATATGGTGTAATTTCCAATGATCAGCCAACCACAAAAGATTTATATCTAATTAAAGATCTTAAAACAATAAAAACAAAAACAACAACAACAACAAAACAACAACAACAACAACAAAACAACAACAACAACAACAAAACAACAACAACAACAACAACAACAACAAAACAACATCAACAACAACAACAACAACAACAACAAAACAACAACAAACAAAAATGCTGTTCTATTAAACGACTTAAGTGTTAATTTGAATTAGAAACGAGCCGCTTTTGTACAAATGAGCATAATGTTTTTGCAGTATTTTGCATCATGTTTAGGATTATAAAAAAATGAAAACAACACGTTATTTATTTCATTCGTCCGAGGCGCTTTTCTGGATTTACTTTCATCAGAAACGCTCAAAGCCGAATATTTTGAAAGCCGAGGATGTATAAGAACCGAAACAGTTGAAGAGCTATATGACCAAAAAGTACCTAAAAATAGTCAAATTCATCTAGGGTCAACTTTGCCTGAGGGAGTTGCAATGGCTTGGTGAATGGAACATAAATATTTTATTGTTTTCTCTTCCTATCCTTTTGACCAACATTATTTATAGTATTATAAAATCTTTCGAGTTCTATGAGCATTCGTAGTATGATATACGATTCTATAACATTATGTGTCTATATATTAAAAAACTATACATTTACAAGACTATTCCTGTCATACTTTCGCCTCAGACTGTCAACAATTAAAAATAAGATACATCACTCTGATGGAAATTTTAATATTGTAACCATTCCCAAGTTTGTCAGAGATGCAAAATAAAACTATTATGTTTCTAATGAAGTTGCAATGGCTTGGTAAATGGAACATACATATTTTATTGTTTTCTCTTCCTATTCTTTTGACCAACATTATTTAGAGTATTTAAGATCAAATTGACGCGATTTCTTGCTGTATTTAACCTTATAAAATTTTTGTGGTCGCAAAGATTATAAAACCTTTCGAATTCTATGAGCATTCGTGACTTTATTCGTAGTATGATATACGATTCTATAACATTTATGTGTCTATATATTATAAAACTATACATTTACAAGACTAATCCTGTCAAACATAAGATACATCACTCTGACAGCAATTTTAATATTGTTACTTTTCCCAAGTTTGTCAAAGGTGCAAAATAAAAGTATTATATTTCTAATGAACACATGATGTCTTAGAGGTAGTTCAAGGGAGAATAAGAAAAACTAATGTTCATGAAAATATTCTCTAACCTTTTAATCACATGTTTCATGACTTTGACATTTTCTTCTGTCCCAATTTAGTTATAATTGTTTATATTTTAGCGAGGTGCAAAACGATTAATTTATATAAAAAAACATTGCACCCAGAAATGTCTATACATCGCATGATCTTTAATTCCTTGTTGAAACGTCATTACTTTTCACTAATTCCCTTGTTTCAATCTGTAATCCGGCTTTTAATATTCGTTGTCGACATACAACAGAAACCATCAGAGACTCGTAAAAGCACAAGGATGCGCAATCGCCTTAAGATAGCAATGATTTTATTGAGATTTTATTACGAGCCATTAAGATACACGACTTTACAATCTATTTAGAACAGCAAATACTTAATTTTCATCCAATTAGTACCAATTAGGGACGAACGATAGATTATATCCAGAGGATTTATTTGCGGGATGGGTGAAGCAAAAAGAGCTTAAGGGGCTATAATGGCGGATTAAAGAGAGATCGCATGCGGTATTGCTGAAAATGAACTACAAAATGTCATTAAATTTCAGTCAAGAATTTTTTCTCCAAAATATCATCTTAATCGCTCATCATTACCATTAGCAATATAAGACAACAGAAACTTTGTTTTTTTTAGAACAGTATTATAATCTAGAAAATAGGAAGTATGACTTTATGTACAAAGCCTTACTCTTCAATTGATCGTATGATTCATAATTAATCAATCAATTTATTTAGTTACCTATAGATTGACATATATTATTTTGTTTTGTTGGATGCAAACTTTAACCATAAGTATCATATGACAACATTAATAGTTAAACTCGTCTAATTCATAGAAAGAAATCTCTGTTAGCAAAATTGCAAAGCCATTTGTTCAATCAGGCTGATATATTTTCTATATTGTCTTTCAAATAATACGATTAAAGACAAAGAGCAGGATAAGAGACGTTCCGTTTTATAAAAAAAATAGAGGAAAACGATACCAATGGGACAATCACAATTCAAAAATACGACATCATGGCCACAAGAGGAAAGACTAATGGACAAATAACAGTCCATAAAACACTACACAGAAAACTAAAGATTAAGGAACATGAACTCCACCAATAAACCGGGAATGAATTTTAAGTTTCTTCTCATTAATCACGTTTTCGCCTCTGTATTTGAAAAAAATCCTTAAACAAGGAAATTATAAGCTTACTATCGATGTGTCAACAAAACTACTATTGGTCTGCTTGTCCTTAAGAGTTAAATAATATCATCGAAATTAAAGTTTTAAAAAAAAGTTTCAAAATTTTGATAAAAGTAAGTCTTACTTTCATGTTCTATCGGTGTTTTGGGTACATCCTCATTACCATCTTTCAACGTCAGTGGTATTCCCATGAATTGTGAATACGAATCTCCATACCATACTAATAATTCTGTTCCTACAGGTATGTCTCTGCAAGCAAACAACAAACAACAGTTTCACGTATTTATCATAAAATAAAGCATCACAGTTATTTAATTTTACTATTTTCGCTTTAGATTTCTAGGAACGGACAGTTCCAATCACAATTATTAATAGCGGAAGAATGAATATGTCGTCTGTAGACAACAACTTCATAAAAATTGAGAAAAAAACAAAATAAACATAACAATTGAATACGTTTACTGCTGTTATTCGTAACAAAAACAGTTCTAACTATATAGACAATCATAAAAAGAAATAACTTAAAATGAAAATGTCAGAGAAATTATTTTGATGATCTTGTTTTGATTATCATTTCAACTAATTACGAACATGTGACCAGTTCTCTACAATCACAGTGCCGAAATTATTACTACGCATCTAATTAAAAAGGTTAATATCAAAAGAGGAAGAAGTTACCCAAGGAACATATAATTCATTTGTTAGATGTCTTAATTTTGATATCGTTCTACGAAAAAAAACCAGCAACATTCGTTACCGTAGAACATTTTTTATCAAAAATTTAAAAAAAAATCTTTTTGTCTTATAAAGGAGTGATGAAGTTAATAATTTATGCTCCTGTCATCAAAATATGACAATCTTTAAATTCAATCGTTAGAATAACAAATCTTCAAACTGCAATGTATACCAATAATGTTAACATTAACATTGCGTTGTTCACTCTTTGGTATTGTTTAACGCATTTTTTTCATTTCAATTAAAATTTCAGAGAAAATGATGTTCTTAATTTTAACTCATGACACAAAAGATATCGTCGTTATTCAAAAAGTTGTCAAAAATCAAACGCGATATTAATGTATATTTTTGAGACCTCAATTTTTGTGACCTCCATTTCAGACAAGAAAAGCCGAAATGCTGTTATTTTTTTTTTTTTTTTTTGATACTGTTCACATTAAATACTGTTAATTAGTTCACCTCGACATAATAAAGCCTTGCTATTCACAAAGAAGATAATGACTCGTTTGATACATCGTATCTTGTGGGGTTTGTTTTTATTGCAACAATTTTTTTATTACAGAAATGTCAGTTCATGACGCCTCATTAGTTGCTATGGAGATGCTTAAAGCATGGGACAAGAAATATTACAAATGTGATTACAGATATTGTTGACCAGAGTAAGGTCTGTTTATAATTATAAAACTGTAACCGATTTTGTTATTATTCTATTTTTGTGCCTTTGTTATTGTTTTCCAAAAGTGTTGCACGTATCGCGTTACAAAAGTAAAGATTCGATTAAGACCAACAACAATATATTCTTAACTACTCGTTATATATCAAAAGATATAAAGTCTTAACCAAGAAATACAGAATGAATACAAAAAGGTTATTATACTAAGAAAAACATTTTGTAGACTTATGGTAAAAAAACTTCATTCATGTGTATCCTTAAAAATAATATTATGTTATTTGTTTTATTTTGTTCATTCTTCAATGATTTTTAAATTTTAGTATTATTTATTAAATTTATCTCACTCCAGGAACTAATATTATAGAATGTTTCTATAAGATGACAGGCAGTAATAAAACCATGAATACAGATTCTACTGTGAAATTCACCAATGTTCTAAATAATGAAGGAAATCATTATAATCCAAGAGATGGCGTTTTCATAGCTCCAGTATCTGGTGCGCATTTGTTTTCCTGAACAACTCAAACGTACAGTTGCAAATTTGTCAACACAGAACTGTGAGTTGACAATGTCGTAGAAGAAATTTACACGCAAGTCTTGGGAGCAGTACTAGTACGCTTTCAGTAACAAGATGATTCCGTTGGTTGATATAGTCTTACGTTTAATTTTACTTCCCCATATTTGAATTTACCATGGTATTTTTGTTAATGATTGTTTACAGTGGAATAACATTGATCATGTCGACGTTAACGCTGAATAATCATGTTCTGGACATTTCAAAAGTATCTTTGAGGAGGGTTTTTTTTATGCAACAAAATGTGTAATAGTCCTAATATAAGGGAATATTATGAATTATTTGATATTGATTTCACTTGAAAACTCTGGCAATCTGATATTAATTCAGGACAATAATAACCAACTTGACAGCAGTAACCGTACATATAAAGTAGATACACGGTTAGATGGAGTTGCCAAAATGTACATGTATAAACACCCTTTTTTTTCAAAATCTACGTTATATTAAGTAAAAAGATTGTTTTCAAAACGCGCGTCTCGCGTGCTTTAAGCATATCCGTAGTCAATATTCTTGTGCTATGCTGACATAAATATCTTTTGCTGTGGTCATTTTCTGTAAATATACTCTTTGTCTAATTTTAAAATCATTCGAAACACAAAGAATTATCTACTCATAGGCAAATATGTCCTTAGCAGGATTTGGCAAAACTGTTTGGAATTTTATGGTTTTCAGTACTCTTCAAACTTCGTTATTGTTATTGCCTTTCGACTATTTTGATTAAAGAACAACTAATGAGTCTTATGTCGGCCCTACTAAATTATAAGCCAGGTATCTTTGAGGACGTTTAGTTTAGAATTAATTAAGAGATACCATGAGACGAGTGTATTTTATTCATGTAAAGAGGCTAGTAGATTACATATATATGCATATCAATTCCTATTTGACAGCACTGAAACCGGTATTATCCGTTAAAATTACAAGACAATGAACTATCAACAGCTAAAAGTTCATAACTTCCGGAAAAGATCCTACCTTTTGTTTAAAATTATCAGCCTAGTATCTTTTAGGAAGTTTATTTCAGAGTTAAATAAGAGTTACCATAAGACGAGTGTTTTTTCGTGTAAAGTCCGTAATGTTTTAAGCAATGAAATAAATGATTTTAACAGCACTTTTGTATCTCCCGTCATGTAAAAAAACAAACACAAACAGCAGAGACCACGATAACACTGAACTGCAGGCTAAAAAAGAGGCGAAAGATACCAAAGGGGCATTCAAACTCATAAGTCGAAAATAAACTGACAACGCCATGGCTAAAAACGAAAAAGACCAACAGACAACCAATAGTACACAAAACACAACATAGAAAACCAGAGGCTGTGCAACATTAACAATGCAGTTACGGGAACATTTCATGCAAGTCTATGAAGTGCAACTGGATACCTGTCAGTTAGCCATGTAGTTCTTTGCAATGTAAACAATAATTATCGTGTATGGATTTAAACTAGCGCATACTACTGTGATAACTAGTTTAACTATACAGAGGAAATTCTCAAAGTTCTTTCAAGGGTATTCTTTTGATCAAACCTTGAGTTCTAATCAAACATACAATCTAAAGATAAAAATCTTACCTTGAGGTCTCATAGAATATGCTATCGCCATCTTGAATCACCACTATATTTTGTTCTGCTGTGTGTCTTGCACAATTTACATAGGACATCCAACTACCAGTACTCCCACGGCCATCAACAAAATGACTTAGTTGACCATTCTGGAAAATCTGTGTAATAAGATTTGCTTTAGTTCAAATTCGTAAGATGACATTTTAAAAAACTAATTTTTGGAAATTACAAATCTGAATCTATAAAGCCTGCAATCGTTTATTTTTATTTATTTTGGAATGTGATGGTATTAAGAATGTGTGTCTCAATGGAAATAACATTTACATGGCAATGCTAATACAACTTCACACCAACAATCATTGACTAAGCATTTGTGGTTCCCTTTTAACTGAACCAATTACAAACTTGAACATGTAAACGTTGCAAAAGTTTGAAGTCAGTGCTCCCTGACTGAGAGAGTATGGTAAACAAATATATACCATAGTAGGGTAATATGCTAATGCCAATAGAACTACATTCGAAAGATGAATGACTTAACACTTGTCGTTCTCTTTTAACTGAGCTACATGCAAAACAAATGTATAACAAAAATACCGAATTCCAAGGCAAATTCAAAAAGGGGAAGTCCATATAACCGACAAAATCAAACGCTACCAATCAACGGAACAAGTGAAAAACAACTGCCATATTCCTGACTTGGAACAGGCATTTTACGAAGAAACATGTAAACTAAACAAAACTGTTAGTATATGGACCTTGATTGGGGAGGACTGCGTCCATTGGTGAAAAAATCTCCATTGAAATCAGATATGTCAGTGATAGTACAGCTGCATACCAAATATCATTGACTTACCATTAGTAGTTAATTTCAAACTGAAATAATCCAAAATTTTAGCATATATATATATAGACAAAAGGTTCATAGTCCGAATTGCCTGAGGGAGCGGGGCCAAATAATATCCATTTGGAATTAAGTGTATTGATGCTAATACAACTGCATATCAAATTGAATTGCGTTAAAGTTGTAGTTTCCCTTCAAATGATTTAATCACTAACGTTGACATTTTTTTCAAATGCAATGACGAATGCGCCGGGAACAGCACACTTTGGTCTCGTCTCCACAACAAAAGTGTGTTAAACTACAAAAGGCGCATTTAAATCATTCTTTTTTCTCATGCAGTTTTTAATGAAATACGCAGAAAGGGACAACTTCCTGATCTGGTTTTCATGTTAATTTTATATCGATGGTGATTATCTATTTCAGAAAAATATTCACCCGTGAGATAGATTACTTGAATTTGTAAATACGTTTCGAATACAAACTGACAAGCTTATACAACAGTGTTTACTCGTTACTGTAATGAAAACAGGATCAGCCAACAAAAACATCCGCTGTATAAAAAGAATCCGTTAGATTTTGACGTATCAGTAGTTTTACCATTATATGCCAGTGTTTTTCAACACGTTTTGGAGACAACAGTAGTCAACTGATGTTCAAAGCTAAATAATCCATTTTGAACATACAAATCAATGTAAAAACCTAAAAAATATTCCATGTACTACAAACTGAGTGAAGCTTATTGTATATATATATGTGTGTATCACATGTCAGCATGCCAGACTCAAGTCAAAACCATTTAAATTATCAATTTTGCACGTACTCTGGAAATAACATGCTTTCATGTCAAGATTGTGTATTTTGCAAAATCCTCCCAGTTCTTTAAAAGTAAAAAAACAAACACACCAATGATATCTACAACTTTAACACCAGGCATTTTATTTTGTAATTAAACTTATCACCCCATATATAACTGTTTCCGTTAAATGATTGAAACTTACCTCCCACATTAAACTGGTATCGTCAAATGATTTGAACTGACATCCCAGACATAATTGTTATCGTCAAATGATTTAACCTTACCTCCCACATATAATTGTTATCGCCAAATGATTTAACCATACCTCCCACATATAACTGTTATCGCCAAATGATTTAACCTTACCTCCCACATATAATTGTTATCGTCCAATGATTTAAACTGACTTCCCACAAATAACTGTTATCGCCAAATTATTTAACCTTACCTCCCACATATAATTGTTATCGTCAAATGATTTAAACTGACTTCCCACAAATAACTGTTATCGCCAAATTATTTAACCTTACCTCCCACATATAATTGTTATCGCCAAATGATTTAATCTTACCTCCCACATATAACTGTTATCGCCAAATGATTTAACCTTACCTCCCACATATAACTGTTATCGTCAAATGATTGAAACGTACCTCCCACATATATCTGTTATCGTCAAATGATTTAAACTTACCTCCCACATTAAACTGGTATCGTGAAATGATTTGAACTGACATCCCAGACATAATTGTTATCGTCAAATGATTGAAACTTGCATCCCACATATAACTGTTATCGTCAAATGATTGAAACTGACCTCCCACATATACCTGTTATCGTCAAATGATTGAAACTTACCTCCCACATATAACTGTTATCGTCAAAGGATTTGATTTCACTTGTGTTCACCACTTTTCCTTTGAATGGCCCATACTTAATGCCTTTTTTTATTAAATGTTGTCTGCTGAAAACACCGTAATGGACGATACCAGCGAACGAATTTGGACATATACAAAGTTCTGAAACATAAAGAGACATGATAAACAAGCCAACGTAAGACATCCATAATATAAAGTATATATTTGGCATGCTATGATATTTAAAAAAACATTTTCTATTTACACTACGGCAATGAGTTTGTAGATAGTGAAAAAAATGTAATCAAATAATTTGGAGCATAATGTAGAAAGTCGTTACAATTAATTCGGACCTTTCTCTTGGCAGAATTTAGAGTTTTCCTTATTTTATAGACGCCCGTCTATTGTTGAAGACCGCTTGATAATTTTTGGTTATATGTGCTGTTGAGCTGGTGCTCCATTGACGTATACCCCACTACTCCTTTTATTTATTTTTTCCCTAAGGATATTTGTCTCAATGACAGCCATTGCATAAGTATTTTTATGTGTAATGATGCCGAAGCACTGATTAAATTTAAAAATGAAGAACTAAGTATGAATTTTGATTGTGCATTACTTTATAGACAGAAATGATTTATACTAGATTTCTTTAAATCCGATGAAAATTCTATAAAATTTAGTGTTAACAGTGCATTCTATACAACTTCGATCGATATCGTGTCTCAAAATAGACAACTGTAATGTTTGTGTACAAGTATACATATTCCGAATACGTTTGTTTCGAGTCATTTCAATTCCACAAAGTATCCGTATGTTATGCATCATCAGCTTCCTGTTTTAAATGCATTTATGTTTAAAAAAGGGGAAAATAAAATCTTGAAACTGACTCAAATTCAACTATTAATAATAATCTTAGTATTAAATCCAGGACAAGTTTTGTGACATGGAGAATTGACTTAGGTATTTACGCAGTTTGAAATGCTTCCACAGTAACTGTTGTTTGTTTAAAGTTCAGAAAATATGAGAGTAATCACCCATTGCCTTGTCTGACAATTAAATTGTAATAACTAATTTATCAAACATTTCATAAAAGAGCATTTGTATCATTACGAGAACATTTTATTTCAAAAATTTCTAATTGTACTTAAGGGAACGTCATTAAGATTAGAAAAAAAGAAAATTTAAGACACAATCTGAAGAATTAAAAGTCATTAAAATTTGAAAAAAATCCTGTAATACGGTTTTAATGAGATGTAAACCAGTAATAATCACAATAGTAGATAACCTTGTTGAGTTAATTTTGTACGCACCATAATTGGCAGGTAGAATCGTTAGGTTTTATACGCAAATAGATCGAAAATTGACCTATCTCACAAGAAGTCCTATATATACTGGTCCCCCGTTCGGATTAAGAAAGTAGAAAAGGAAAACAGAAAGAAGTTTGATCAGCAGTTTTATTTTTATTATTGATGGATAGTTGTCTCATTGGCAATCAAACCACATCTCCTTCTTTTTACATGCGTCGCCGAAGGCAAAAGCAGGTCTAGTAACCATGACTCTGTCCGTCCGTCCGTCCGTCCGAAAGACCCTAGGTAGAAAACTTTATTTAAAGTTTTCTTTGCTTCTATGAGATCGAATGATTTAATATTTGGTCTGCAGCTTGATAATGTTCAGCTGTAGTGAGTAAGAAATACTTACATCCACCATCCAACCATTTTCTGTTTGCCGATTGTTTGAAATATTACAACACTCATTGTAAAAGGAAAATTTTTGTCAATTTTTTCTTGGCTGGTATACTAAAGTGAATAATTTAAAATTTTGTTTGCAGTTTGATTATGTTCAGTTGTAACGAGTAATATGAAAATAAGGAGATGTGGTATGATTATCAATGAAACAACTATCCACCCAAGTTCAAATGAAGTCGATGTAAGCAATTATAGGCAACCGTACGGCCTTCAGCAATGAAATAAAACCAATACCGTAAAGTCGGTTATAAATGGTCCTTACATGAAAAATATAAAACAATTCAATTTAGCATTTTTTACAACCGCCATGCAGCCACTTCCTGTTTGTCGCATTTTGAAATTTTACAACACTCTTTGTACAAGGAAATTTTCAACACATTTTATTTGTCTTTCATAAACGAAAATGATCAGTATGCTTCAGTGTTTTTTTATTCAACCAATGTCAATTGTCACATCTGTTTTACATGTTCGAGTATTTGATGATATATCTAGTTTATTGACTTTTTTATTCTCTTTTCAAATTTACTAATTTATCATTTGTTACTTCAAACGTTTTAATAAATTAATAAATGTATTATTCATTTTTTATCAAAATAAAATCGATAATTTAATACACTAAGTTAAATTGTGTTGCTGCTAAAAAAACAACAGGTTATTTACCTTCCGGTAGATTGTGAGGAGGTAGTTCAGATTTAGAAAGTTTCCATGGCGATACAGGTAACGATCTGTCTGTTGACTTACATGTACCTTCCGGTAGATCGTGAGGAGGTAGTTCCGATTTAGAACGCTTCCACGAAGATACAGGTAACGATCTGGCTGCTGACTTACCTTCCGGTAGATCGTGAGGAGATGGTTCAGATCTAGAACACTTCCACGACGATACAGGTAACGACCTGGCTGTTGACTTACCTTCCGGTAGATCGTGAGGAGGTGATTCAGATCTAGAACGCTTCTTCGACGATATGTAGGTAACGATCTGGCTGTTGACTTACCTTCCGATAGATCATGGGGAGGTGGTTCAGATCTAGAACGCTTCCACGACGATACAGGTAACGATCTGGCTGTTGACTTACCTTCCGGTAGATCGTGGGGAGGTGGTTCAGACCTAGAAAGCTTCCACGACGATACAGGTAACGATCTGGATGGCGATTGAGATAAAAGTCGATCTATACCTAATTAACAAAGAAAGAAATACAGAAATACATAACATTTATAACCATGTAACTACATGTACTAGTAGCTCGTACATTAGTCTCTTTACACGTTTTTTTGCTGTATGTTGTGTTTCTTTAAGTTTTTTTACTCTATGTTGTGAAAATGCAATTTTAGTTGTCTTACGCGCTTAGTAGCTATACTAGTTTACTTGTACGAAATGGACGATTTTGACCGTCTTTTTTCGTACAGTTAACCTTTCTATTTAACATTATTTATAGTTGTATGTGGTATTGTCTTTTAAATGTTGTTGTTTTATTCTATGATAAATCGTTGTGTGTATGTCTGTTTGTTTCTGAATACATCATTCAACATTGTCAAAATCCAACCAGGCGCTGGTTATCTTTAATAAATGAAAGTTGGATTATTTTGAAAACTGCAAAAACACCATATATATATTTATAGGTAAAAACTAATTATCCATCAGACTGGCAGAACTATAATAATGTAGAAATATTCTCTATTGTCACCATGGGTTTTATATGGTACGGATACTTAAAGTTTGAAATTTAAAAAAAAAAATGAAATTTTGATCTTTAAAAAATCGAAATTTTTATCTTTTAAACCTCAATATTTCTTTTTTTTTATATGTCAAAAGTTTTACACTGATACACTATATTCGTACAATGACTCCGTGCATGATAACATTTAATATAAACCCTTTTTTATACGTCATTTTCTTTATCTTTATAAATACAATTCATATTACCGTTCTTCTTAAAAAACGCACCATGACTAATCTCGCCAATTTTTAAACCACTCAACGCATGTGATGGAGTTCCATTTGACGAATAACCAAATAACACAAAGTCAAGATCTTCCTGTGTGAAATAATATGTCGATGATCTTTGGACTTGGTGCCCTGGATACAATCGGTTTGAAATCTCTGCAAAATTTCGGTATTGTTGCATCATAGGATAATATTGCTGAAGATATTCTGAAGACATCATTGTAGGCTGAACAAATAACCTACAAATAGAGATATTCCGAAGATATCAATGTAAATGGAATAAATATTGAATTACTAGTAACCATATTCCGAAGACATTAATGTAGAACTGAAAGTAATTAATTACATTTCAATAACATACTAATTTCTTCTAATTAAATAACAGTTACATTATTTTTGAAATGTTATTAGTTACATTACATTACATTACCATTACATTTTAAATCATATATGAAATATTGTTCTTAGCGCAAAATTAATTAAAATGTAATTAATTGCATTGCATATGTAATTAATTCCATTACAATTACATTGCCAATGTAATTAATTCCATTACAATTACATTTCCAATGCAATTAATTACATTTTAATTAATTTTGCGCTAAGAACAATATTTCATTTACGATTTAAAAGTTGTTAACCAGCTAGTACTAAAGTATGAGAAATTTTCAGATGCACTATCATGACTGTTTGATATATGTGCAAGCATTGAAATGTTATTTATTTTTTGTAACATTTAATCATCAATAGATCAATAGATATATTATACAAAGGCAACTAATACCCACCCTCCTATCTAGTATACTCCGATGATGGGAGATATTTCACGCATGATGTGACTGAGTTGAAGTTGGGAGTACAGACTAGCTCCTTATTTATGATTTATATAACAGACACATTTTCATATGAAACCATAATATAATTCAGCTTTTTGTACACATGATTGCTAGAGTCACATAAAATGAAGTGAACAACCATCAAAATATGTTACAAACCTCTCCATATATTTCCACACTAAACATTGTAATTAATGCTACAGTAATGAAGAAAATAAAGAAGACAAATGTTTTCCTTTTTAATTATTCTAAAAATACTTGTATAGTGTTATGTTGCTTTCTATAACAACTATATTGTACAACTGGTATTTTGCTCCTTATCAATATACACGTAGTGATATAACCATATTTTTTCGTCATCGTCATAAATAAAAGGAATTGATGCTTGCTCTTGCGTTATCTAACAAAACATTGTATGTCTGTACGAAGTCAGGATATCTGGACCATGTGTTGTTCATTGTTTGTCTTTGGGAGCATGTTTATTTTTTCTTTTTCAAAGAAGTCGGATGATGGTGGTTAAGTGTGGTATGTTGTCCTGTAAAATAGGTCTTTGGTAATTTTTGTTAACTTTTTATGTTATATAAATTTTGATCAATTTTCCATTTTTCTTACGTTAAGTGAAATATTAAAATTAGGAGATACGGTACTTTGTTTAATATTGTTCCAAAATTTAAAACTAATTTGAAACAAGGTGTATAATTAATTTAAAAGGAAAAATATCGTCTTATTTAATCTTTATATATCAGTCCATATAGTTTCCTTTTTTTTGGGGGTTGAATTTTACTGTGCAACATTTACAAGCTGTTGTTGTTGATTTAGCAAAATATAACTTAAACGCATGTAATAATTTCTTGCAACTATGAAATTTATAATCCTTGACATATAGCTATATAATAGTTTTCTGATCAGTAAATTAATATGTTACAAATGAAGAACTCGTTTAATTTGATGACTCTTTTAAAGGTAATTTTTTTTTTATATTTTGATCTAAAGAGCTGATTAAAGTCGTTAACTCGTCTGCATTTTGAGTCAAACTAATATGAATTACTATGATATTAATCTTTTTTTTTAATTCAAATGATTTAGTACATAACAAGTTTATGATAAAGCAGGCATATTAATGAAATAGGTTGAGACGTTATCATCACATATACAACCTGTTAATCTTTAACAGCTTGAATGAGCTAATCAATTATGTTATATATTTGATATCTTTATTTATTAATTTTCAGAAGATTCAAGCGATACTAGATCATACTAAACATACACGTATGATGAATGATAGAATGCTATCATAGATGAATGAAGGGGCTTGTTGTGGAAATCATTGTACAGACTATATAGTATATTATAAAAAGTATTGTACCGACTATACAGTATATGAATATTATAATACTGACTATACATTATATAAATATTATTATACAGACTATACAGTATAAGAATATCATTGTACAGACTATACAGTATAAGAATATCATTGTACCGACTATACAGTATATAAATATTACTGTACAGACTATACAGTATATGAATATCATTGTACCGACTATACAGTATATGAATATCATTGTACAGACTATGCAGTATATGAATATTATTGTACAGACTATGCACTGTATGAATAGTATTGTACAGACTATGCACTATATGAATATTATTGTACAGACTATACACTATATGAATAGTATTGTACAGACTATGCAGTATATGAATATTATTGTACAGACTATACACTATATGAATGTTATTGTACATACTATGCAGTATATGAATATCATTGTACAGACTATGCAGTATATGAATATTATTGTACAGACTATGCAGTATATGAAAATTATTGTACAGACTATGCAGTATATGAATATCATTGTACAGACTATACAGTATATGAATATCATTGTACCGACTATACAGTATATAAATATTACTGTACAGACTATACAGTAAATGAATATCATTGTACCGACTATACAGTATATGAATATCATTGTACAGACTATGCACTATATGAATAGTATTGTACAGACTATGCACTATATGAATATTATTGTACAGAATATACACTATATGAATATTATTGTACAGACTATGCAGTATATGAATATTATTGTACAGACTATACACTATATGAATGTTATTGTACATACTATGCAGTATATGAATATCATTGTACAGACTATGCAGTATATGAATATTATTGTACAGACTATGCAGTATATGAAAATTGTTGTACAGACTATGCAGTATATGAATATCATTGTACAGACTATACAATATATATGAATAATATTATTCTGACTATACAGTATATAAACACGATTAGTCAGGCTATACAGTATAATTACATTATTGTACAGACTATACAGTATGTGAATGTTATTGTATAGACGATACAGTATATAAACAATATTGTACAAACTATAATACACTATATAAATATCATTGTACAGACTATATAGTATACGAATATCATTGTACAGACTATACAGTGTATAAATATTATTGTACAGACTATACAGTATAAGAATATTATTGTATAGACTCTATAGTATATAAATATTATTGTACAGACTATACCGTATCTGAATATCATTATATAGACTATATAGTATACGAATATCATTGTACTGACTATACAGTATAATAATATTATTGAACAGACTATGCATTATATGAATATTATTGCAAAGACTATACACAGTATATGAATATTATTGTATGGACTATACAATTCATGAGTATAATTGTTCAGACTTTACAATATATACACATAATTGTAAAGACTATACAGTATATCAATGTTATTGGACAGACTAATCAGTATATGAATATTATTGTATAGACTATACAGTATAAGAATATTATTGGACAGACTAATCAGTATATGAATATTATTGTATAGACTATACAGTATAAGAATAATATTGTACAGACTATGCAGTATATGAATATTATTGTACAAACTATGCAGTATATGAATATTATTGTACAGACTATGCAGTATATGAATATTATTGTACAGACTATACAGTATATGAATATTATTGTACAGACTATACACTATATGAATGTTATTGTACATACTATGCAGTATATGAATATTATCGTACAGACTATACAGTATAAGAATATTATTGTACAGACTATGCAGTATATGAATATTATAGTACAGACTATGCAGTATATGAATATTATTGTACAGACTATGCAGTATATGAATATTATTGAACAGACTATACAGTATATGAATATTATCGTACAGACTATACAGTATAAGAATATTATTGTACAGACTATACAGGATATGAATATTATTGTTTACACTTTACAATATATACACATAATTGTACAGACTATAAGTAAATGAACATTATTGTACAGACTATACAGTATATGAATATTATTGTACAGACTATGCAGTATATTAATATTATTATACAGACTATATAGTATGAGAATATTATTGTACAGACTACACAGGATATGAATATTATTGTACAGACTATACAGTATATGAATATTATCGTACAGACTATACAGGATATGAACATTATTGTATAGACTATAAGTAAATGAACATTATTGTACAGACTATACAGTTTATGAATATTATTGTACAGACTATGCAGTATATACATTTTATTGTATCGACTATACAGTATATAAATATCCATGTACAGACTATACAGTATATACATATTATTGTACAGACTATGCAGTTGAAAAAAATTATTACACAGACTATACAGTATATGAATATTATTGTTCAGACTTTACAGTACATAATTATTATTGTATTGACTATGCAGTATTTGAAAAAAATTGTACAGACTATACAGTATATGAATAATATTGTACAGACTATACAGTATATAAACATTATTGTACAAACTATACAGTATTTGAATATTATTGTACAGACTATACAGTATATGAATAATATTGTACAGACTATACACTATATAAATTTTATTGTACAGACTATACAGTATTTGAATATTATTGTACAGACTATACAGAATATAAATATTATTGTACAGACTATACAGTATATGAATATTATTGTGCAGACTATACAGTATATGAATAATATTGTACAGACTATACAGTATATAAACATTATTGTACAAACTATACACTATATAAATTTTATTGTACAGACTATACAGTATATAAATATTATTGTACAGACTATACAGTATAGGCACATTATTGTTCAGACTTTACAATATATATACATTAATGTAGAGCCTATACAGTATATACACATATTTGTACAGACTATGCAGTATATACACATAATTGTACAGCCTATACGATATATACACATAATTGTACAGACTAGGTTCTTAATGCAGAAGGATGCTGTGCCCTATGA